AAGAAATCAACAAATGACTAATACTGGAGAGGATGTGGGGAAAAGAGCACCCTAACCCACTGTTGGTGGGAATGTAAACTGGTAAAGCCACTGTGGAAAACAATATGGACATAACTCAAAAACCTGAATATAGACCTACTGTATGACCCAGCCATTTCACTACTGGGAGTTTACCCAAGGGAAATGAAATCAGTAAACAAAAGAGCTATCTGCACCTCCATGTTTATCACAGCTCAATTCACAATAGCTAAGATATGGAAGCAACCTAAATGTCCATCAGCCAAAGACTGGATAAAGAAATTGTGGGATATGTACACTATAGAATACTACAAAGCAGTAAAAAAGGATGAAATCTGATCCTTTGCAACAAAATGAAGCAATCTGGAAAACCTCATATTTAGTGAAATAACCCAGTACCAAAGAGACAAACACCATATGTTCTCCCTTATTTGGGAGAATTAATAGTGCAGCTAAAATGAAACCTATAGAAGCGAAATAGTCACTTTTAGAACTAATGTCTTCTAGAATCCTTGACCTGATTGTCGAGAGACAGTTAACTATTGTTACTTTATACTGTGTATATCCTTTTTGTTTTGTGTTGTCGGTTTTCTTTCCTCTGTTTTATTTCTCTCTCTCTCTCTCATCTCTATAGGTTGAACTCTCTATATTACACAGAATTAATTACATGTATTTTTTTTGACAGGCAGAGTGGACAGCGAGAGAGACAGATAGAAAGGTCTTCCTTTGCCGTTGGTTCACCCTCCAATGGCTGCCGTGGCCGGCACGCTGTGGCCAGCGCACTGCACCGATCTGATGGCAGGAGCCAGGTACTTATCCTGGTCTCCCATGGGGTGCAGGGCCCAAGCACTTGGGCCATCCTCCACTGCCTTCCCGGGCCACAGCAGAGAGCTGGCCTGGAAGAGGGGCAACCGGAACAGAATCCGGCGCCCTGACCGGGACTAGAACCCGGTGTGCTGGCGCCGCAACGTGGAGGATTAGCCTAGTGAGCCGCGGCGCCGGCCAATTACGTGTATTTTAAAGCAACTGAAAAAAGATCCCAGTTAAAAACAAGGGAGGGAATAAGATGTGGAGGAAGTAGTCTAAAACTGTAAAACAGTATAGTTCTGCATAGAGGCATATAGACTTACCTCTCAGGGTACAGCCTAAGAACTAATCACGGGGCTCCAAACCCATAAGAATCAGTGGTATAAACACCATCTTCACTGTTACAATGATCCTATTAAATGTTAAAGGCAACAGATAGACCAGTCTAAGTTTAAAAGTGATGAAATAAGCAACATCATGTACCCGGTAAAAATAATAGAATTAAAAAAGGAAGGAAGGACCAACATGGGAATCAGTCCACACAGCAGACTCCTAGAATGGCTTTTGCAGTAAATAACATTCTGACCTCAGAATCAACTAATAAGGCTTCCTGGTCGGGCTGAAAGGCCTGCAAGACCATCTTAGGCATGGAAAGACAAGACTCTGTGGAATAAAATCCTACGTGGAGGAACTCTGTGAGACCTCAGAGGAAAGGAAGAGTCAAAGAAGGGGACGCTCTTCTCTGAAGGGAGAAGAGACCATCCTCTTTGCTTATGTCCATGTCCAAATACCGACACAGTCTTTGGTCACACAAGGCCTCCATAGCCCTGACAGCTCATGACAAGAGCCTTGGATGCTCACTGACATGATAAAAAAAAAAAAGAATGTTAATTGTTAAAGGAACAACAGTAGTCACTGTGCACTTGCTCCCCAAGTAGGACCTCTGTCCCTATTGAACTGCAATATGAGAACGGACTGCAAATGCTCTCCCCAAACTGTACTCTGTATGTTGTGTGTGGGCATGGGGGCAAATTGTTGAAATCTATGATTAGCATAGAGTTGGTCCTCTGTATATAGAGTCATATTAAAAATGATCCATAATGAAGAAAGAGATGGGAGAGAGAATGGGAGGTGGGATGGGAGTGGGGTGGAGGGCATGGGGGAAAGAACCACTGTATTCCTAAAGTTGTATCTATGTAAAAATGCATTCATTAAATAAAAAAGGAAAAAAGTCAATTGAGGATGAATCTCAGTAAGAAAGACTAGTGGGAATAAGAGAGGGAGGAGGAAGTTTGTAACTGTAATGCTGTATAGTTCTGCAAACATTCCTAAGGACTAACTTCTAAGTATACAGTTTAAAAACTTGTCATTGGACTTCAAATCCCATTAAGCTGGGTGATAAAAATGTCATATTAAGTGTTAAAGTGATCATATTAAGTGTTAAAGTGAACATATAGATAGAATTAAGTGTTAAAATGACCATGTTAATAGGATCAAGTGTGGGGTAATTATAGTAGAAAGAATTTAAAAGGAGAGAATGTTCCAAAATGGGAAGCAGTCCACACAGCAGACTCAGAATGAAAATTGTTTTAAGTAACACTCTGACCTCAGAATCAGACCTTAAGGCTTCCTGGTCTTGCTGAAATGCATGTGAGAGCATTTCAGGCATGGAAAGCCAAGACACTGTGGCAAAAAAAAAAAAAAATACTCTACATGAAGGATCTCTGTGAGTGAGATCCCAAATGAAAGAAGTGGCCATCAAGGAAGGATGTACTTTTCTCTAAAAGGAGGAGAGAACTTCCACTTTGCTTATGGCTTTGTCTAAATACTGACCGAATTTGTGGATTCAAAAGGCTTCTATAGCCTAGGCAGCACACGTAAAAAGCCTCGGGTGGTCACTGACGTCATACGTAAGAATGTTAATTGTTAAATTAACAACAGGAGTCACTGTGCACTAACTCCCCATGCAGGACCTCTGTCCTCAATGAGTTGTATTATTAAAGTTAAATGTAGGCTGGCGCTGCAGCTCACTAGGCTAATCCTCCGCCTTGCGGCACCGGCACACCAGGTTCTAGTCCCAGTTGGGGTGCCGGATTCTGTCCCAGTTGCCCCTCTTCCAGGCCAGCTCTCTGCTGTGGCCAGGGAGTGCAACGGAGGATGGCCCAAGTCCTTGGGCCCTGCACCCCATGGGAGACCAGGATAAGTACCTGGCTCCTGCCATCGGATCAGCGCGGTGTGCTGGCCGCAGCACACTGGCCACAGTAGCCATTGGAGGGTGAACCAATGGAAAAGGAAGACCTTTCTCTCTGTCTCTCTCTCTCACTGTCCACTCTGCCTGTCAAAAAAAAAAGAAAGTTAAATGTGATACTTGTTCTCAAAGAGTTTGTGTGTGTGTGCGCATGGGTGTGCCAAGTTGAAATCTTTACTTAGTATAGAGTTGGTCTTCTGTGTACAAAGCTAATTGAAAATGAATCTTGAGAAAGGGCCTGGAAGTGGAGGAGGAGGAGGGGTGGAAGTGTGGGTGGTAGGCAGGTATGGTGGGGAGAAAACTATATTCCTAAAGTTGTACATATAAAATTTGTATTCCTTAAAAATTAATTAATTTTTTAAAAATAAATCAAAAAAGAAAAAAAGAAATGTCTGTAACAGTACTACTGCAAACATAATTTTGTAAAACTATATTTATATATTTGTCAAACCAATGGTTAAAAATATTATTATAGGCCGGAGCTGCAGCTCACTAGGCTAATCCTCCGCCTGCGGTACCAGAACTCCGGGTTCTAGTCCCTGTTGGGGCCCCGGTTCTATCCCAGTTGCTCCTCTTCCAGTCCAGCTCTCTGCTGTGGCCCAGGAGGGTGGTGGAGGATGGCCCAAGTGCTTGGGCCCTGTACCCGCATGGGAGACCAGGAGGAAGCACCTGGCTCCTGGCTTTGGATCTGCGCAGCAATGGCTGTAGTTGCCATTTGGGGGGTAAACCAACGGAAGGAAGACCTTTCTCACTGTCTCTCTCTCTCTCTCACTGTCTAACTTTGCCTGTCAAAAAATATATATATTATTATAGTTTTAATGCCCTGTGATTACTTTAAAATTTACTGTATATGGATGAAATGATCATTTGTCCACATTCCCATTTAATTAGGATCTTTTTGTTTTTGCTAAACTTATTTGGTAAAGCATTAAGACTTTTTACAGTAATGTAACTTTAAAAGATGTTATCTCAAAAGCTAAAAGAGAGGTGGGGAGGGGAGGAGAAGGAAAGAAGAGAGGGAGAGAGATGCAAGGGGAGGAAGGAGGAAACAAACAAACAAACAAGAGGGAAGGCGGGTGGAAGGGTAGGAGGGAAAGAGCAGGAGGGAGGGGGAGAAGAAGGAAGGGAGTATCATTACATTCTTAGAACTGTATCTGCAAACTATATTGAATCTGTTTAAAAAAAAAAAACTAGTTGAAAGTAAAAATAAATAAGTTAGAAAAAAAAAGAACAGAACCAAGAGTGACCTTGATACAATTCAGTCACTGACTCAACTGCCTGGGTTTGTTTACAATATAAGACACTCCACGCCTGACCCCTAGGATTACTTCAGAGAGAAATCCCATGGAAGCTGAGGTTTGTTCTCAGCTAAATGCTTGTTAGCAGACAGTGTATCAACTTTCAGTCAGTCCCCAGTTTTCATACTGCTTCAAACCACACACATGAGGAAACGACTCGTACTGCTGTGCTATCTAGGCTTTAAAATCACAGAGAGATTTGCTATGGCAAATGAGGTTCTATATCCCCTCTTGTTCTGCAATTAAGTGATTTTATAACTTTCAAAAAACCTTATTCTTGGCTGGCGCCACGGCTCGCTAGGCTAATCCTCCACCTTGCGGCGCCAGCACACCGGGTTCTAGTCCCAGTCGGGGCGCCGGATTCTGTCCCAGTTGCCCCTCTTCCAGGCCAGCTCTCTGCTGTGGCCAGGGAGTGCAGTGGAGGATGGCCCAAGTCCTTGGGCCCTGCACCCCATGGGAGACCAGGAGAAGCACCTGGCTCCTGCCATCGGATCAGCGCGGTGCGCCGGCTGCAGTGCACCAGCCGTGGCAGCCATTGGAGGTTGAACCAACGGCAAAAAGGAAGACCTTTCTCTCTGTCTCTCTCTCTCACTGTCCACTCTGCCTGTCAAAAAAAAAAAAAACCTTATACTCACTCTGGATAATCACAGAAATTTCATAGCCCTCAATGAAATGATTTTACATTAAAAAAAAAAAACTGTTACCAACTGATACACTGATGCTTACTTAATCCAGAACAATGAAAGAGAAACAGAGGGCCGACTGGTTTATCAACTAGTCAGGAAATAAAGGTACAGGACATGAATTCAGCTATAACTCAGAAGGCACTGAGGCTTTGTTGCAGCTCAGAAGTTTATTAATGAAGGGGATATGGTCAGGTGATGTTTATATGCTGGACTCCCACAACCCTGTATTCTGGCTGCAGTGGTAAAGAGGGAACCCTATTTTGGTGGCCACAGGTGATGTTATTCCAGGAACATGATGAGCCCTATTTCCTGGGTCCTTACAGCCGTTACTGGGCTCTAGCACTATTAAATAGGCTCCTTTTCTGTTTCTTGTACCTGAGCTGGAGGAATGACATTTTTTAAGATCTCAGTATAGTATGGGCTGAACACCTGATGGTTGTGATGCATCAGATTGACAAACTTCCAGCCCAGGTCTGCCAATTCCCCTTCGATGAAAATAAGGCCTCCAGGAAAGTCTAGTAAAGACTCTTGCATGCCACGAACTAGACAGCTTTTGAGGAACAGATGGATCCGCTGATCTGTGAGCAGGGAAAACAGTGGAAAGGGGGAAGAAACAGATTTCAGAAGAAATTCACAGTGCCCTTGCACTCTCTGTTCACCAGAGTTTTAAGTTAAATGAGTTATTCAATGACCTACTACTCATTTGGGTAAACCATATAAACAATGTTACTGTTGATTTCGATTTGAAGGACTGAATCTTATCAAGCTCCCAAAGATAATAAGTGATCAACAGATGGTGAGCTACAGAATTTCTAGTTGCTCATATGATTGCTTTACATAGCTGTAAGTGAGATCCCATTTTTTTTTCTTGGCTTTCCTTGCCAGAAATCCAGCCTTCTGTTCCAGACACCTGAGAAAAGCAGAGGCTCCTGGGAACCAGCAATCCCCCTGATGGAGCTGATACTCTCTGCCATTGAACAGAACCTCATGAAAAGTGAATGCCTCTGGATTCAGACTTTGGACATGACCTCCACTGAGAACCACAAGATGCATGGCCCACCTTGCTGAAACACAGAGCCCAAATACCAGGTCTCCCTGATGGAGAACTTCCAGAAAAAATGGTGGATAATAACATTTGGTAACTATTGAACAGGAACATGGGGCTATAAGTAAATTTAATATATATATTAAAATAACTTATTTTTTGGTTTTCCGCTGTTTAATTTATTTTCTGGATTTAGTTCTTTCTAAACCAAGAACTTTCTGGTTTTTGTGAAATAATTCAGTCTTAGTTTAGCTATACACTGTAGCACTTTCTTATTGCTGTAACAATAAGCATGTGACCTCACAAGAGGATCCTAGACACAACCTGAAATTCTAAGGACACGTGTTACAGCCAGTGCACCAAATTCGTAGTCAGACACCCACACCAGAATATGGGAAGACATTAAAGTTAAAAGCCAGCTGATGAAATTCACTGCTTCCATTCTAGCATGGAACATGTCCTACAGCCTCACAATCAATTCCATGAAAGGGAGTAGAGGTCCACATGGTAACTTAAATCATGGAATAAAGAGAGTGTTTTGCACCATAGATCTCAGACTATTGCTAAAGAATAGCCAGAAATAACTTAGTGGTGTTGGTAGGCCAGTGCCCCCCACACCTGTGAATTACATATTCAACTTAAAACCAAAAGAGGTCTATATTATATAGATGAGGAAACAAAACCCTTTCCAAATGAACATACTTTTTCATTTTAAATGAATAACTCACTTCCATAGTAAGATCTACCTTTCTCTACCACCTACATGTTTGCCACTCTTTCCCACTGTTACTACAGACACTCTTACCAATGATGCTACGAACGCAGTTCTCTTTCTTGGCAATGTTCTGGAGTTGACCTACAAGAGATTTCTTATTTTCGTTGCTCAAAGCAGTGAAGCCCATGTCCATAAGGCCCTGGTGGATTTCCTGAGACACTTGTTCACTCACACTCAGCATAGCCTCTTCAGGTCTAGATAATGAAACACAGAAATCAGAATGGCCCTAGCACAGGGGCAAAGCCCAAAGAGCCGGATACCACAAGCTAAGTCCATTTAAGGGTGAATTACAGCCCAGTAATACTGGAGCCAGTGGGCAGGTGAAACAGTTTCATTGTGACCCTCAAAGTACCAACTAATCCATATGCTTTCATCATTGGATGCTCTTAGCATTCTTTAGTCTCATAACTTTTATTTTAAGATTCTCTTGGATAATTTTCCTGGTTGTTTTTCCTACATCACCAATAAATTTGAAAATTTATTAAGAGACTTAGACCTCTAATTCCTTTTTTTACTTTGGTATGGTATCCCTGCATGTAATGAATGATCAATAAATATGACTGATCAAATGATCAACTTCTGAACATACATAACACAAACCAACTATCATCTTATAGAGCATATGATTCATTTTTTTTAAAAGATTTATTTTATTTATTTGAAAGAGTTACAGAGAGAGGTAGAGACAGAGAGAGAGAGAGGTCTTCCATCCACTGGTTCACTCCCCAGATGGCCGCAACAGCTGGAACTGCACCAATCCAAAACCAGGAGCCAGGAGCTTCTTCCAGGTCTCCCACACGGGTGCAGGGGCCCAAGACCTTGGGCCATCTTCTACTGCTTTCCCAGACCATAGCAGAGAGCTGGATTGGAAGAGGAGCAGCCGGGACTAGAACCGGCACCTACATGGGATGCTGGCGCTTCAGGCCAGGGCTTTAACTCACTGCGCCACAGAGCCATCCCCAATGATTGATTCATTTTTAGGAAACATGACAATAAACATTTGTAGCAAACTAACGTTCCCATCTTCTTCTTTGGACAGAGGGTTTTATTTTTCTTTATCTCAAGCCCCAATACAACTAATCAAAGACACCAGCAATCATTGGAGATGGTTCCAAAGGACCTTTGGGTACTTTGTGGCAAACAGTAAGCCCAGGGGCTGGCACTGTGGCACAGCAGTTTAAGCCATTGCCTGCAGTGCCAGCATCCCATATGGACACCAGTTCATGACCTAGCTGCTCCACTTCTGATCCAGCTCCCTGCTAATGCACCTGGGGAGGGCAGCTAAAGATGGCCAAGTACTTGGGTCCCTGCCACCCATGTGGAAGAGCCAGATGGAGTTCCTGCCTCCTGGTTTCAGCCTGGCCCAGCCCAGGCCACTGCAGCGATTTGGGGATTGAACGAGCAGATAGAAGATCTCTTTCTCTATCCCCCCCTCTTCTTCTGTAACTCTGCCTTTCAAATAAATAAACAAATGATTTTTTTAAAAAAAGAAGCAATAATTTATTACTACTCACCTATGTCTCAAATACCACATATTATTTTCAATGCTAAGAAAGATTTCTACAAATCTCACCTGGAGTTAAATTCCTCTGTCAGGGCCTTGATTATGTATTTCAGTTTATCCACAAATTCAGGTGACCTGAATAAAACACTACCAGAGAAACTTCTGGCCACTAGCAAGACTGAAGTCAGGATGGTTAACTGGCACACTGTTGATTCCATCTCCTGCAGCCGGATTCTGTCCATCAGCAAGGTCTGGTGAGGCAGGAAAGAACAGGGTGTCAGGGGACGAGGATTCCAATGGAGGCAGTGAATACAAAACAAGAGGGCGACACTCCGCCATGTGTGCCTACCTCAGGGAATTCTTCGTTTTCAGGATCCCAGTGAAGAAGGTTCAGGTAGCCCTGGTATAACACCATTGTGGGACTGGGAATCTCTGAGCTGTTAGCTTCCTGACTTCCGGGTGAATAGGTCTTGCTTGATGAGGAGCTAGGAGAGTCAGAACTTGCAGATGGTGTAATGAGGTCTGCGGCTGCTTTAGTGAGCCATTTGGTGGTGAAGACAAGGAGATCTATTAGAAAGAAGGGAATATGTATCTTCAAACTCCATGTCTTGCAAACCAAGGCTTTAAGACAGGAATGTGGAACCTCAGCCTGTGGGCCATTTAAGGCTTGAGAAATTATTTGGTCTGGCCCTGCCAAGACCCACTGGTGAGACTCAAAATTCAGTTAATTCCACAGCAGGCTAATTTTTAAGTCTATGAATCTGTATGGCCCATGAATGATGTTATAAACATCCAAATGGCCCTTGGCAGAAAAAAGATTCCCCACTCCCTGCTTTAAGATATACTCCTTGTTAAGAAGTAATTTTGTGGCCAGCGCTGCAGCTCACTAGGCTAATCCTCCGCCTTGCGGCACCGGCACACCGGGTTCTAGTCCCGGTCGGGGCGCCGGATTCTGTCCCGGTTGCCCCTCTTCCAGGCCAGCTCTCTGCTGTGGCCAGGGAGTGCAGTGGAAGATGGTCCAAGTCCTTGGGCCCTGCACCCCATGGGAGACCAGGAGAAGCACCTGGCTCCTGCCATCGGATCAGCGCGGTGCACTGGCCGCAGCGCACCGGCCACGGCGGCCATTGGAGGATGAACCAACGGCAAAGGAAGACCTTTCTCTCTGTCTCTCTCTCTCACTGTCCACTCTGCCTGTCAAAAAAAAAGTAATTTTGTAGGTTTTTTCTTTTTCTCTACTCCTTACACAAGGAAGAAACTTTATATTCAAAAAGTAAAAAAGATTCTACTTCCTGGTAAGAAGGTAGGCCCAAAGTCAAACCTCCCCTCTCATGCCCTTAAATTTTATACATACGGGGCTGCCTGTCAAGCAGCTCCTGGAATTTAGCTCGTTCATACTGGACAGAATGTTCCTGCAGAAAAGGTCGAAGGCTCTGGATAGTGTAGTTCATCATGTCCATTTTCATCAGGCCCAGAACGTGAAAAATACCCCTGTCACAGGAAGAAATAGAATACTTATACTATGAGGAGCAGGCATCTGGCAGAAAGATGAAGACACCGCACAAGATGCCTCATGTCTACATTAGAGCAACTGGGTGTGAGTCTTGGCTCCCTCCACTCCTTAATATAGCTTCCTGTTTCTAGCTTTCTGCTAACATGTGCCCCAGAAAGCAGCAGGTGATGGCCCAAGCACTTGAGTCACTGTCACTCACGTGGAAGATCCAGACTGAGTTCCAGGTTCCCAGCGTTGGCCTGGCCAAGCTCCAGCTGTTGTGAACATTTCAGCAGTGAACCAGAGAATGGGAGACTTCTATTCCCCCTTTCCCTTTCAAACACAGTCAAAATGAATAAATAAAAATAGTTTAAAAAGAAATAAAAAGGTCGTCAGTGGAACACCAAAAGTGTTATCTGCTGTGGTTAGTAAGAATGTGTGTAATTGCACTTCAAACTCATTAGACAACTCATTTTATTTGTATGGGTCTTGGGACGGGGGCAATCATTGTTTCTATGTTTCTATGGACTTAGGACAAATAGGAGAACATTTGGAACGTGTCATAAATAAAGGGGCCCCAATGATCTAAAGGTAATCATCGGAACCTTGAGTAATTGTCCTTGGAAAATTAAAATCAATAATTCAAGGAGGAGGAAAGAAGTGTTTGGGTGTTCAGTAAACAAGAGCTAGACAACACACAGGCTATGTCACAATACCTAGTTCAGAGCTGTCTGCATAGTATTTAAGACCGACTTAAGGAATAGCATGTCGAATCTCACCTCAGTAATTCTACTGGATCTGTTATACTCTCCAGTTTCTGCACTGCTTCATCTCGAATTGGTGCACATAACATGCCCATCAAACTGAGAATGGAGCTAGAGAGATGAGGTACATCCAAGGCCCCATGCTCTGCTTCTTGCTTGAGCAGACCCAGGTCTAGAGCTTGTTCGATCTCACGTTTTAGTTGGTTCTGGCGAGGTAATAGCAGTGACAGCAAGATCTGCCGGACAGAGAAATCAAAAGAGCTAAGTTCTGTTTTGAACACTTAACTTTCTCCAATGAGAAAGGTACCCCAGGCCATGTCTTCTGAGAGTCAGGAAACTGGGTCTCTAAATATCCTAAAGTATTATTATCCTCTGTTTAGAGGACAATTATAATTTAACATTCTATTGGGATCATTTATAGTGGCAGTCATTATTTTCTAGGCAGAATGAGATAAAGATATAAAAAACAAGAGTGTGACAAAAAGAAGTGTAGGATAGCAGAAGTATAAAGTACACACCACCATAAGGGATATGAGGTTCTTAATGAAGAAGAAGGACATTTTTATTTTTACTCAAATGGTAAGGATGAAATTAGCAAAGAATCAAAGGTCATTGGATACAGCTTTTGACTCAAAAGTATAAGCTCTTGGTGACCAAGAACGCTTTTATTCACCTTTATGCTTCTGAAACACTTAAAACATAGCAGAAGTTAAATGAAAATTGTTTAATTTAATGACATATTGGATTGTTAGAGCAATATCCTAATTGTGAAGCTTCACCTTATACAAGCAAAATGAAAGCTGCTTACATAGTGGACAGTATTTATGGAATGTGCTAATTAGCACATTAGTGATCATCAACAATCCAAGAGTCTGGGATGCCCATCAACTTCACATCAACAAATAGAAGGTTGGTTACTCACATCCTTAACTTCCTTTAGTAGTTCAAGAGCACATGCAAAGTTGGGTGGAGCACTTGACAGTTGCTCTTCCATATGGTCCCAAAAAGCATTGTACATTGTCTCCACAAATCTGCCTTCCACACTACAGGAAGATTAAATGAGAAAATTACCCTTTACCTAGATAATTGATACAGATTCATAATCTCACAACGAACATTTAAAATCATGAGAAACCATTAAATTGACATGACAGGAGAAGTCACATTTAAATCTGAAAATGATTAAATCAACCTAAGTTTGATACAAAAGCACTGGAAAAATCCTCTCAAAAGGCCCTTGGTTCCAAAGAAGCTAAGTCTCTGCAGTAGGAAGAATCATGGGCTTAGAGTTGAGACCGTAAGTTCTAATCCTGACTCTATGTCTAGCCTAGATGGGTGACTTAGTTTCCATTTCCATAGGCTTAATCCATAGACTAGTTGATCACTTCACTTTAGGCTTGAAAACTAGAAGCATTTTTCTTCTTGCTGACAGCTAAAAGTCTCTAAGATCCTTCAAATTCATCCAACCCAAACCTTCAAACCTGTTTCTTGTGTATATTTGGCCCCATAAACCAGAAACAATAGACTTTTTCCTTTAAAATATATAAATAACATACATAAATATAAAAGAACAATATGAAATATAAAAGTAATCTAAAATATACAAAAATATAAAAAAAAAAAACAGGCAAAGTAGCTCTCCCACCATACCAATCTAACTTGTGAGAGGTCACCAACTATCTGGTGTTTACTGAAACCCTCCTTAATTCCTTCCCCTTCATCTTTTTTATCCATGTGGTCATCAAATTCCAGAGACTCTGCTTCCTAAATATCTCTGGAATCCAACCCCACTTACATGGATTATTGCAATAGTCAAACGGCAACCCTGTCCCACAGTCTTAACCCCCAAGATGACATATATTCTAGCTAAAATCAGTGATTTTTGTAAGATACAAGTCTGATCATGACATAAGTTATTCATCTTTATCCTGTCTGAATCCGTAGACAGTTAAAGAGTAACTGCTAGGAGCTACTTCCTTCAAGTCTTTCTGAAAAGATTGCTATGTTTCACTATAACTGAGATCCTAAAATGAACATTTTGAAAATAGCAGCATTGGTTTATTGTTTTTCAATAGTTGCATTGGTTTATTCCTGGTTTAAATATAATTTGTAACTTTTATTCCTTTAAACTAGTAAATACATTAAGTATCCTTGCATTTTATTTAATGGTACAACTTTAGACATACCTGAATATTACATTTATTAATAAAATGTGTCAAACATGATTAAAAGCTATTTGTGCTGTATACCTCTGCAAGGAAGAGTAAAATAGAAAAAGCAGTAGAATCTACCTATTTGGAGGTAAAATTCTCTCTTCCATGTAGAAATCTTGGTTGACCATGATTTCGTGAGCAATGCTCATCTTGGAAACTTCATTAATTGTCTCTATCAGCTCTGTGACAGAAAGTGCTGCAGATCGGCTCTCTGGAAAAAGGCATAGCCATCATCAGCAGGGAGCCTACCCAAGTAAAATTTCTATTTTATTCAACACTTCAGTCAAGTTAGGCCCTCAGATTTAGATTCATCAAACACACCTTACACAGACTCACTCAATTCCTTTAGCATTTGAGGTGTTCTGACTTCTTTGCCTTTCAAAAGTACTGCAAACTCTCAGATGTCAGGCATGGCAAGAAGTTACTTTATGAAAAATTCAAAGTGATTTCAAAATCTTCCATTGAAATGTCAAAACAGTAAAGAAAATGCAGCGAAGAAACAAGGAATAAAGTTGTGTTTTACAAAATAGACATTTACCTACAAATTACTATGTTCCTACTATCTTCTTCCTACCTCCAAGACTACATACAAATGAGAGCTAAAGTCTCCTTACAGGTAACACCACAAATCTTACTATATGGCTCTAAATCTGAATCATCCTTCTGAAGCTGTTTTTGGATCTAGGGATTCAATAGACAAAGGAAATTTCAAAAAGAATGAGTGATTGACAATTATTTGCCAATTTTTATTTTTTTACCTATAGAATTAAGGCAAACAAACAAAAATCCAAGCTTAATCATCATCAAACATTTAATAAACTAAGTATATTTTAACACTCCAAAAGGCACAAAGAAAATAAAGTCAGCACTAAGAGTAATCCTTTAAAATAAATCAACTAAATTTTATTTTAAAAACGTATTATCACATCTTTATTATTTCATTGCATTCAATATTGGTAAGAAGTATATCAGAAACTAGCATTGGAATTTGGGAACCAGTGTTCTAAGTTCATTAGACAAACTATTTGCAGCAGTAATACATAAAAAGCATATGTAGTGATTATAATAATTACTTGGTATTTCTGATAAGTTAAAATAAAACATGCAATGAAACTATGTCCTCATTCACCTTCAAGTAGTTTCATAATTCATAATACAGGGAGAACTATTTGTCCCCAAAACATAATAAAATTCACATGTAAGAATCCTAATACTCTAGGAAGATGGTTTACTTACTTGCATTTTTCATTTTAAAAAAGTCATTAAACAAAAATCTCACCAGCTGACATTTGCCCTTCAATATAGGGTAATTTTTTCAAGATTTATTCCATATTTGAAAGGCAGAGTTACAGTGGAGGGGGGGAATATATATCTTCCATCTGTTGACTCACTCCCCAAACGGACCTAATGGCCAGATATGGGCCAGGACTAAGCCAGGAGCTTGGAACATCACCCAGGTCTTCCATGTGGGTGGCAGGGTCCCAAATAAATGAGCAGTCTTCCACTGCTTGCCCAGGCTCATAAGCAGGGAGCTGGACGGGAAGTGGGAGCAGCATGTACTCAAAGGGATGCTCAAATGGGATGCAGCAACACACAAGGCAGCCTTATCTGCTATGTCACAATGTCAGTCCCCCAACAGAGTATTTTCTAGCTTAAGTAAAAAGCTGCATATGTTAGTACATAGCATCAAGGGGTGAATGTTTGGCCTAGCAGTTAAGACACCACTTGGGACATTTATATCCCATAAGGCAGCACCTGGGTTCAAGCCCCAGATCCACTTCTGATTCCAGCTTCCTGCAAATGCACACTCTGGGATGCCATGGCCCAAGTACATTGGTCCAAGCCACCAATATGAGACCAGATTGGTTTACAGGCTCCTGGCTTTGGCCTGGTCCAGCCCTGGCCATTTCAGGCATTTGGGGAGTGAACCAGCAAATGAGTTCCCTCTCTCTCTCTCTTCCTCTCTCTCTCCCTCCCTCCCTCCCTCTCTCTCCCCCTCTCTCCCTGTGTGTCTGCACATACCAGAAAATAAGAGACCTCTGTATCTGCCTTTCAAATACATAATCAACTAATTTAAAATATATCATCCAATCAGTTCATTAAGACCTTTGAAAAACATTACAAACTAAGAATTATGACATTTTGTTTAATAGCAGTGACCTCAAGTGGCCACTAAAGAAAAGTGTTATTTAATACCATCACAATCTCCAACTAGTCTTTCCCAATTTCAGTTTTCAAGATTTAAAATCGAGTTGAACAGGAATGCAGATTAATAATTAGTAAAAGTAATTGAATATTAATAGGGGGCCTGAAAATCTGAGCCTCTGTGAATTTGGATGAAATAAAAACCTCAAATGTTTAACATAAGATGTCAAAAAGTCATTGTGTCCCAAAGTTTGCATAAAAATTCTGTTATTACAGATCTAAAGATTTTATCTCAGAGTAGTGATAATTCTTATGTCAACAAAAGCACCCCTGGAAAAGGAGAGAACATAATCCCAGCATCAGATAATTTGGATTATTTATAATCTATCCAAGGTCTACCATCCACATTCTAAAATTCAAAGTACAAAAATGCTATCTATTTCCCATGTTTTGAAATGCCACAACCACTCTCAAGTCTTGTCAAACAAAAGGAATTATGCTTTGATCTCTTTCTTTCAGCCAAAAATCTTTCAATTGTACTTACCAGTCAGGTCCTATATGCAAAGATAAGTGTAAAAAAAGACAAGGAAAATAATAATCCAGGTGGACTAGCAGAACAATAAGAAAGCAAAGATGCAACACTACAAAGGTTTCTTTTTTATTTCTTTATTTGAAAGGCAGAATTACAGACTGAGAGAGAGAGACAGAGAGAGAGAAAAACACAGAGAGAATCTTCCACTCGCTGGTTCACTCCCCAAAAAGGCCACAGAAGCCAGGGTCCCGGAACTCCTGGTCTCCTGTGTGGATGGGAGAGGCTAGGAGAGGTCCGAGGACCTGGGGGCCATCTGCTGCCTTCCCAGAAGCATTAGCGGGGAGCTGGGTTGAAAACTGAATGGCTGGGACTCCAACCCACACCCTGGTTAGCACCACCATGCCGGCCCCTATCAAACTTCTATGTTCTTTAAAGACACTTAAACCACAGGCTTTCTGCCTCTTCCTTTAACCTCACTACTTTCAGGGACAACCCAAGGAAGTGATTACACCATTCTGAACCTACCGGGAGGGTGGTTATCTGTAGAGCTGCTCTGATCTTCCTGAGTCTGTCCCGGTGTTTTAGGGGTAGGAGCCCTACTCTCTGCTTCACTGGAGTCATTCTGGAGCACAGATTCTTCATTGATTTTTGGCATCTTGATGTTATCTGTAATTGGAGAGAAAAGAGGTAAGCTGTGTAAGATCTGTGATCAAGGGAAAAGGGAAAAGAGGGCTCTTCAACTGTGTTCCCTGGTGACTAAACTCACTGTTCCCAGTTGGACAGCGTTAGAGACAAGTTCTTCAGGGGCCCAGGTGGGGTAAGAGGAACGCAGGACTAGTGAGACCATCTTTACTGAAACTAAAGAAGTTTAGTGTTGGTCAAGCAGAACAGGAAACTAAGGTCCAGAGACGGCCAACTCACCCAAAGGTACAATACCACCCTGTACAATACCAGCCAACCTAGAAGAGGAATCTCCCTTGACTCCCACTACATGTAAGTGATCTCAGAATACCCATTTCCTCCCAACTTCAGCTTCTATCTACCTGATGAGGACCAGTGGCCAGCACTCTGGCAGCAGGAAGCCCCCAAGAAACTCAAATCACTGGCTCCTCACCTCTTCCCCGTCCTTGACCTGCTGTTCAGCGGCTGTGTCTGCTAGTGAAGCCCCTGTGGCCCACTCAACCTTGTCCTGGGACATACCACTGCAGGAACACCAAGGGGGGGGTCATCAGGAGGGAGGTCAGATGAAACCACTGAAATGATTTGGGGCTACTTAGAGCACACCCCTACCCATGATACCAGGTAGTACAGCCCAAAGCGCATAAACAAAGGACAGTTACTTTCCTGTGTAATACATCAGATCATGTGCTCAGGGTGCCTCTGGAGCCTCCAAAGCCAGAAAAGCAAGCAGGGTCAAACCAATAGATGAAAAAGGCAGGAAGCGCAGATTCCACCTAAGGCTTCTAGCTCCTATCTTCCCTCGTAGATGTCAAGTATCTCAGGAGCTTGAGATTAGTGTTCTCAAGCCCTATTCTCCCATATGCAGGGAACTATTTGAAGCTTTTATCTCCATTCCCCCAGGAAAAAAAAAATAACATTTAAATAACTGTAAAGGAAAGTGAATGTTCTAAGCAGGCCTGGATTCAAAACATTTCTGAACCAAAAGAAATGTATTTTTTAATTCCATTGTCCACAAACTCTGAAGTATCTTCATCTCTAATGTTTTTTTCTTATTTTTCTTTTTTTAACTTTTATTTAATAAATATAAATTTCCAAAGTACAACTTTTGGATTATAGCTGCTTCCCCCCCCATAACCACCCTCCCACACACAACCATCCCATCTCCCACGCCCTCTCCCATCCCATTCACATCAAGATTCATTTTCAATTATCTTTATATACAGAAGATCAATTAAAATATACTGAGTAAAAATTTCAACAGTTTTCAACAGTTTACTTTTACACAAAGTAAAAAGTACTGTTTGAGTACTAGCTATACCACTAATTCACATAGTACAACACATTAAGGACAGAGATACTACATGGGGAGTAAGTGCACAGTGACTCCCATTGTTTATTTAACAAATGATACTCTTATTTATGAAGACAATATTCATCTGAGGCTCTTGTCATGAGCTGCCAGGGCTATGGAAGCCTCTTGAGTTCGCCAACTCTGATCTTATTTAGACAAGGCCATAGTCAAAGTGGAGTTCTCTCCTCCCTTCAGAGAAAGGTACCTCCTTCTCTGATGGCCCGTTCTTTCCGCTGGGATCTCACTCACAGAGTTCTTTCATTTAGGTCTTTTTTTTTTTTTGCCCCAGTGTCTTGGCTTTCCATGCCTGAAATACTCTCATGGGCTTTTTAGCCAGATCCAAATGCCTTAAGTACTGATTCTGAGACCACAGTGCTGATTAGGACATCTGCCATTCTATGAGTCTGCTGTGTATCCCGCTTCCCATGTTGGATTGTTCTCTCCTTTTTAATTCTATCAGTTATTATTAGCTGACTCTAGTCTTGTTCATGCGATCCCTTTGACGTTTAATCCTATTATTATGATCAATTATGAACTGAAACTGATCAGTTTGACTAGTGAGATGGCATTGGTACATGCCACCTTGATGGGATTCTATTGGAATCCCCTGGCATGTTTCTAACTCTACCATTAGGGGTAAGTCTGAGTGAGCATGTGCTGAACTGTACATCTCCTCCCTCTCTTATTCCAACTCTTATATTTAACAGAGATCACTTTTCAGTTAAATTTAAACACCTAAGAATAATTGTGTGTTAATTAAAGAGTTAAACCAATGGTACTAAGTAAAACAAAACAAAACAAAAAAAATACTAAAGGGAATAAAGTAGTAAGCTGTTCCTCGACAGTCAGGACAAGGGCTGATCAAGTCACTGTTTCTTATCGTATCCATTTCACTTCTACAGGTCGCCTTTTAGTTGCTCAGTTAGTTGTCACAGATCAGGGAGAAATATATGATATTTGTCCCTTTGGGACTGGCTTATTTCACTCAGCATGATGTGTTCCAGATTCCTCCATTTTGTTGCAAATGACCGGATTTCTTTTTTTTTTTACTGCTGTATAGTATTCTATAGAGTACAGATCCCATAATTTCTTTATCCAGTCTACTGTTGATTGGCATTTGGGTTGATTCCAGGTCTTAGCTATTGTGAATTGAGCTGCAATAAACATTGAGGTGCAGACAGCTCTTTTATTTGCCAATTTAATTTCCTTTGGGTAAATTCCAAGGAGTGGGATGGCTGGGTTGAATGGTAGGGTTATATTCTTCCCAGAATAGAAGAGGAACATCAGAAGGTTCTAGGTAATCTGGGAGCAGCCTGGAAGGGAATGTTTGAAGTTAGAAGTGAGGCATCAGGGATGGAGAAGCCATTAAATATCTTTTTTTTTTCTTCTACCCTCCTCTCCCTCACTGCCCTGCAGCTCCAACTAAATGAGACTGTACTTAAAGCAGCACCTTATAGGACCGAGAAGCGAGCCGAAAGGGCCCCGCTTCTGTCATCTAGTGCGCGCAGGCAGGTAGCGCCCTGGCCCTGGGTTCACAAGTGGCTGTGCGCGGTCCGTCCAACGCCACCATGTCCCCTTGCTCTCAGCACACACAGCTGAAGCTTCTGCCTCCTCAAGTTCTTGGCTTGACCTTGTCACCCCTGTGTTCTCCTTTTCACGACTAAGCGCTTGGAACCTGGTGCTCACGCGTCATCGTTGTCCCACCACTCCTCTAAATCTCCAGGCCTTCCCCAACAACTCAAGGGAAACGTCTTTGCAAATGTCGCGGTGACCTCCACCTCAAAATTCCAATGACCAGTTTGGAGCCGAGGCCTGCCTGGCTTTCATGCTGATTTCGTGGTGTTCACTGTTCCTTTTTACTGGATCTCAGTGGCAGGATCAAGACGGTACCCGCAGCGTCTCTGTGTTTGTGTTTCCCTTGACAAGTCGCCATTACATATCTTTAAGGAAAGGCGTTTCAAAGCAGTGGAAGAGGAAGCTTCTGGCAGCAGCATTTAGTGCCTATCTCCACATTCGCATCTCACTCTGTTCGTTCCCAGGAATGCTGGCCTTTTATTATCTTTAACAGGCCGTGTGCCTTCCCACCTCAGGGTTTCGTGCATGTTTTTCTTTCTCCCTGTGATGCTTTCTTCCTTCTTTAAACCACTTTCCCAGACTGGCTTCTCACTGTTCAAGTCTCAACTTCTAAATCTTGAGTTTCCCAGAGAATCTTCTAGGGAGAGTTCCCTGTTAGCATCTCTCTTAACATTCTGTACTTTTGTAAATGATAAAAATGATCACAGTTTATAGTTGGGAATTTATTTGCATAAATGATATTTAGCAAATATTCAACACTGCTATGAGACCAAGGTTTCTCACGGTAGGAGCCATGTGCATTTTGTTCTTTACTGTTCCAAGAACATATTATGCATAAATATGAGTGAATGAGTGAATATGCATAAATATCTTAACTACAAAGGAAAACAGCAGTATTGGATGAATGACATAAAATGGGCCACATTCCCCTGCCAAACTGGTTGGGCCTCTCTTAGTTACTGGAGTCAACCTTTCTTCCTTTGTCTTTCTTTCTTTCACTTCTTGGCTTCCAATGCACAATGGCCAGACCATATACAGACTGTCTGCAACTTACGATGACTTGACTTATATTTTTTTGACTTTATAATGGTGTGAAAGTATACCCACTCAATCATTCTGGTTTTCAATTTCAGTTCAGTATTCAACTCATTATACTCAATATTTCACACATTTTTAGAAAATAGGTTTTGTGTTAGATGATTGTGCCCAACTGTAGGCTAGTACAAGTGTTCTGATCACATTTAAGGTAAGCTATGCTAAGCTATAATATTTGCTACGTTAAGTGTATTAAATGCACTTTCAATTTCAATTTGTGATGGGTTTATTGGGATCTAACCCCATTGTAAGTAAAAAAAAAAAAAAGGAGCTAGCAAGTAAAGTGGCTAGCAAGTAAAGCCACAGCCTGCAATGCCGGCATCCCATGTGGGCACCAGTTTGTGTCCCAGCCCCCCCACTTCTGATCCAGCTCCCTGCTAATGGCTGGAAAAAGCAACGGATGATAGCCCAAGTGTTCGGGCCCCTGCCACCCATGTGAGGGACTCAGAAGAAGCCTCTGGCTCCTGGCTTCGGGCTGGCCCAGGCCTGGCCATTAATACCATCTGGGGAGTGAACCAGCAAATGAAAGATACACGCGCTCTCTCTCTCTCTCTCTTTAACTCTGACTTTCAAATAAATAAATAAATGGTTTTTTACAAAATAATCTTTGTACAAAATTAGAACTGTGATCCACAACCTTCCCAGGAAACCAATCAGATATTCTGTAATAAACAACCCAGGATAGTGGCCTGCTAAAAATCAGGCTTCCAGGGAACCATATTGCTATCTGTAGTAACAATCCAAGAAGTTAAGCAATAAATTCTGTAACAATTGGACCCAAATAGTCAGGACTTGATTAATAATGACAGCTTCCCTAGTTGTTCCATCTTCCACCTTCAGATCAAACAGAGCAAACCAAATACGCTCCTCTAACAAACCCTATAGACTGTCACCCTTCTAATCAGCCCACCTATAGCTTCCCTAGGTCAATGGGCCCCAATCAAGGCTTTCCTAAAGCCTTCCCTTTTTCCACCATAAAACCTCCCTATTCCTCAGCTGCCTTTGAGTTTCTGTCAAAACACAAGTGACAAAGGCTGACCCCTTGCTATAGCAAGCTCTGAATACATTGACTTGGCTTGTTCTCATTTGGTTGATCTTTATTTCTGCACCAGCAAAACTAACACACTGACAAAGAAAAGAACATTCGCTTGAGAAAACAAGACATTGGGTCCTGTAAAAGAAGCATTTCCCCAGAGCCGTGGACAGAACAGTAAAGGGCAGCAGTATCTCAGGAGCAATTCAGAAAGAGGCCTATTCCTGGGTGAAGAATCTCTCACTCTCACTCTTGCTTTCTATCACTCCCTGACTCACTTGCATGCAAGATGGCACTGAGTAACCACAGCCCAAAGTGTCACAGTGCGGTATTTCAACACACACACACACACACACATATAAATGTGCAGTGATTTTATATATATATATATATATATAAATAAAATGAAAATATATAAACATATATAAATAAAATGTGCAGTGATTCAATCAGGGTAATTAACATTTCTGTCTCCTT